CTCTGTGCTGACAGCTCAGGGCCTGCTTCAGATTCTGTGTCTCCCTCTCTCTCTGCCGCTTTCCCACTCACTCTGGGTCTTTTCAAAATAATAAATAAACATTTATAAAAAAAAGGACTTTCCTGGAGCACCTGGCTGGCTCAGTCATTAGAGCATGGGATTCTTGATCTCGGGGTCATTGAGTTCAAGCCCTACAATGGAGCTTAGAGCTTACCTAAAAATAAGTCATTCTTCCAAATATAGGGAAAGGCTTAAGAGAAAAGATAGTGTAAACAACAAAAAGAGAAACTGAGTTTCTGTTGAGAATCACTGCTCTCCACAGACCTGTACTACTATGTCTTTCATGTAGTCATACTCCTCAGGGTGCAGGAAAGCTGTGAATTCTTCCTTTGTGGCAATAAGGTCTCCATCCTTGTCTGCCATTTTAAACCTCCGCTCATCTCTAACCATCATTTGTTTATAGTTAAATCCATCATCAGGGTCTGGATCATCTAGAAGACAAAACATTTAGGCCAAATCTTAACAGACTTCCACAAAACATGAAAATGTATGGGCTGAGGAATCAGTTTTCAAGAAGGACAAACCAAGCAATGAAGAAACAACCTAAATCCCCAGGTAAAATTGTAACAGTGTGAAAAAACATTCAGTTTTGGTCATCAAAGTCAGGTCCAAGTTGAATGAAAATGTTTGCCATCTAACATGGAACCCTGACTTCTTGGCTATGTAATCTATGTAATGCCTCACTATTTTTGGTGTTAAGGCTACTAAAGGGTTTGACTTTCTAGTTATATCTGAAAAGCAGTGGTAATTCTAAAGTCATACTATTTGAATTTGAATCCTAACTCTACCCACCTCCTAGCTGTGTGGCTGTGGACAAGTAACTTAACTGTGCTCCAATCTACTCATCTGTAAAATGGAGGTGATAATGGTGCATGTCTCATAGGACTGCTATAAGGGTAAATGAGCAAATAACTAGGTGTTTAGAATAGTGCCTGGCGTATAGTTGGCTTTCAATAAATGTTAGCTATTGCTATTTTTATTAAACATTCGAATCCCACTGAGAATCTAGATATCAAAGGCTTTCTATCTCATATTAAGGTCACTTTGATTCAAGCCTACAGCATTATTATCCTTTGAAAAGTCAGGTTACTTTTTTCAGCCAACTCAAACTGTCTACCAAGAATTATAGGTACTGTTTGCCACCCCTTTCCCTCAACTACGTAAGATTCTAGGATGCAAAACTAACCTAGAGTTATACAGAATAGGTTGCCTAGGGATAGGGAAGGTAAGCATGATTATAAAGGCACACGAGGAAATTTTTTAGGGCGATGAATATATTCATTTATCTTGACTGTAAGGATGGGTTCACTGGTATATACCTATGTCAAAACTCATTAACTGTGCATTTTAAATATGTGCAGTGTACTACATCCAATTATACCTTAATAAAGCTGTTACAAAAAGCAAACATTAGATTACAACCAAATTGAATCTGGACCTATCCATGTGTTATGATGTTGAACTATATATATATATATATATATATATATATATGCAGTAGTTATTTAGTCTCTTGAAGAATGAAATTCAGCTCTTTAAGTTGAAGGAGTTATCTGTAGGAAAAAGCCCAAAATAAATGAACAAAAAAATCTTTTCAATCTGCTGTGTGGACCAAAAGATAGCACGTGAAGATATCATGAAATGTAAAAGACTCCACATTTAAACTAAAACAATTGTTCCTAGAACATACTGATTAAATAAAGATACGGCACTAGTTTTATAAAAAGACCCACAGGGTCCCTTTAACAATAGCACCACACTGCTGACTTTTAATACCAAAGTTCAGTCCTTCCATACTTTAAGCACAGTTTGGAAAACAAAAACAAACTACCACTCTATTTTGAAAGTGGGGCAGTTTGAAACCTCATTCTTTGTTGACTGTCAAAATTCAGTAAGACGGAGGGGCGCCTGGGTGGCTTAGTCGGTTAAGCGTCCGACTTTCGCTTAGGTCATGATCTCGCGGTTCGTGGGTTCGAGCCCCGCGTCGGCCTCTGTGCTGACTGCCAGCTCAGAGCCTGGAGCCTATTTCAGAGTCTGTATCTCCCTCTCTCTCTGACCCTCCCCTGCTCACACTGTCTCTCTCTCTCTCCTAGAAATAAAGAATAAAAAATAAAATAAAAAAAAAATTCAGTAAGACGGCTTACTGAATTGTGAGTATACATGATACTCAAAATCATAATAGGTTGAAGATGGAGAATTTAAGGAAAAGACACCCACTGTTTAAAGATACTAAGTCATCTAAACAAAGAAAGTTTCAGTACCAACTGTGTAACAAAAATAAGAAAGACAGCAGAAGACAACTTACACAATAAGACTAGATTCTTAACTAAGAGCCCTTCTCTCCATCTCAGGGTAACATGTGGTGACTGGAATCAAGCAGCCCGATAACATGCACACAAATGATAAAATATTTTTAATAACTAAATTCATGTGTTTGCTGTCACTGCTTGGAGTGCCACATCTATCCTAAGTACTGTGCTAGGCAGCCTGCAGTTTCAAATAGGCTTTTGATCTAGTTTTGGCATAGCCAGTATGGATCTCAGTATTCCATATTTTACTTGTAGCAGAGACAGTGTTAACCTTCCTTTTGTGGAAAGCAGATTCATTAGGACAGATTTTAATTAAAAGCTAATATGACTTACACCTGAACTCAAAGATTAAATCAAGAACATACTCTCACAAAAAAACCCCGCAGCACTTCTGTAAGCCACCTCCTTACCCTAGTGCTATCCACCCACATGCCTCCAGGGAAAGATGCCTTATAAAGATATTGCTTCTCTAGCCAGTGCTTCAGCTTATTCAGTCTTAAGTAGAAATACCCATTACATTGAATCATTTGACCTGAGAGAGCAAAAGAGCTCTCAACAGATTTTTATGTACATAATCATACAAAGAGTTTAAAATTCATTTTGGGTAGCAAGTGCGTGCCTAGGTCTCTGAACTGAAATTTATTAACACACCATTCTGTTTAGATCACCAATAGCCTAGCCTTTGCTCTATATTTGTAAGTCCGAATGAATCAGGAGGGTGCTGGGTCTTAGCCAGAAAGCAAGAAGCACGGGTGCCTCTCCATCTGCACTGACTTCTTAATACACATGTTCTTAATTGGGTGAAGGATATGTTTGGTTCTTGGCTAAGTGTCAAGCATGAAGAGAGATTGCCACTTTAGTCTTAGCAATGAGAACAAGCTCAATACAGAAATAAAAGTCTCTTCACTAGAAATGCATGCAGTCCTGTAATTAACACAGACAGCTGGCTATCCAGTGGGGGAAACAGACCATTATACACTCACTGCTTGTTAATCAGTGGTGGAGAATGCCTGCTTTAATCCAGAAATTTGCCTAATTTCTAGGATAAAAATGTAAGAAGTAACATTTATACATTCTTATCTCAAATTGTAACCACAAAGAGGAATCACATAACAAAAACACCCTAATCATCAACTCAGTAAGACTGCCACCTCTCATTCAGCAACAGGCAAGTGTGATAAGTAATAGAAGATTACTAACAGGTGGCCCAAGCATACAAGCTACCAAATCAACAGAAAGCAATCACATTTATTTGCCTTGAAGCATGTGCATAGCAGGCTGACAAACTCATGTGCCAGAGAAAACAAATGGGAAATTTTCATTTCTAAACCTCAGTTAGCAGACATACTAAAAGTTAAATTTTATCCAGGAAAGGTATTTGATCTTTATTTTATTATGGAAAGTCAGTAATTTTCCTATTCTCACCAGTTATAAAGGAATCTAGTTTGAATTTCAGGGTCACCACTTTAATGTGACCATGTCAAGAGATATTTCAAAGTCTCTTGCTTTGCATTATTGAAACAACACAGCCTTTTAGAGGAGATCTGCCCCCAAAATGGTCTGAGAGAACACAGAAAGAAAAATTGCTAAAATATTATCTGAAATGCTAAAGATGTAGAAGATACCAGACCTTACAAAACTAGAATACTTAATATACACATTTAAAGTTAATAAGATTAAGGTAAATCAGTTCATAGCATTTGGACTATTTTTAAAGAGCACAATTTCGTCCTTTCCTTCACTGTGTGACCCATTTGTTTCTTTGACTCAAGACCATGGTCTCTATCAGGCTGACACCTTGCCCCTTACCCAAGTAAGTGCCATAAGTCACGTTTCTGTACTCATCCCAGGAGATTAAGCCGTCTTGATTCATATCAAACTCGTGCCATTGGTTTTCAACATTGTCATATATGTATTTCTTCTGGGCGTGCTTAATCCAGGATTTCAGCTCCCCCTCCGTCACAAACCCATCTTTATCCACGTCTATTTTATCTACAATCATTCTACAAGACAAAATAGTTACGTTTCAAGGTGCCAGCTCCACAAGGCTTTTTCCCCCAGATAGTAGGGACCTACCTAAAACGTAGCCGTAGGTGGCATTTTTATACTCCTCCCAGGAAACGAGGCCGTCCTCATTGAGGTCATGCCCCTTCCACTGTCGCTCTACATCCTCGTAAATCCAGCGCTTTTGTGCAAACTTAATCCAGTCTTTGAGCTCATCCACAGTGACAAACCCGTCCTTGTCGCCATCTATTTTACTTACAATCTTTCTGTAGAAAATGCAGAGAAATCCAGCAAGAGGTTAAAAGGACACAAGGCTCTAGACTTAGCCAGGTGTGTGCTGTGACCACAGGTGTTGCCTAGGGCTAAAGCATGGACATAAAAATTGTCTCCAAAAAAACCTTCCAGACAGGCAACTGAAAATATTTCTCTTAAGTGGACTGTTACTGGTAATGAGCCATCTAGACGAGGCAAGCACAGTCCATGGCTGGTGCACTTACATGCAAAGGCAAACCCAGTCTCATCCTTTCAGGGGCGAGGTTACAGCCAATGGTCAGAATCCAGAAGTGAATATCCATTCCTATCTGGGTTCTCCATTCTTTGTATCAAACAACATGCAAATCTTGTTTTATTAATATGGAACGCTTCACAAATTTGCACGCCATCCTTTGTGAAGGGGCCAAGTTAATCTCCGTATCATTCCAATTTTAGTCTATGTGCTGCCGAAGCAAGCACAACACGCAAATCTTTATGCTTTTATTGCTTTTAGAACAATCTAAATTTCTTGGTAAATAATCACAAATCACTGATAGGGTTTTCAAAAAATTCAAAAATTTAAACCAGACTTAAAAAAAAAAACCAGCTGCTTAAAAAAAAATAACACTTTTGTTAAAAATGTAAGATATCAAAGATAGTTCTGAGATCACTTATACCTCAAGTCAAGATTATTAAAAAACAAAAGCCAAAAAACCAAAACCCAAACACATACATAAAAAAACACCCCAAAAACCAAAAAGAAAAAAAAAAAAAAACCACAGGTACACGAAGACAAAAGGATAGACACATGCTTCTTATAAAAAATAGCTAACAGCTAATTATATACTATGTTGATTTGGACTTTCACATAGAACCACAAAAACAGAGAACTCAGAGGAAATGATGTGGTAAGAATGTCCACCCCTGACATACATGAGATTATGAGACTGTTAGTAAGTTGAGAGGGTGAGAATACATATGATAAAGCAAAACTACAAAGCTAAAGAATGAATATACTTTGCCCTTCATGTGCTTTTCTTCCAGGCTTGGCATCTCAGTTTAACTTAAGAATTTCAAAATATGTGCATGATATGAAAATCCCTAAAGATACAACCACTCACTTATAGAGACTAAGACAACCTATGAAAAGTCAACCCAAGTAAGTGGCCCAGTTTGAAATGGGAGCTTCAAATCAAGATATCCAAGAGAAGTGAAACCTTCGCATACTCCTATGCTCTATTATTTGCAGGACTGAAAAAGACTGTCACTTGGTAGCAAATAATGTCTTTTCCTAGTCTGCATTCATTTTATGAATACAACATTGGAAAGTGATTAAAATCACAGACTACTAGTGACACTATGAAAAGAGATTCATCTTGATATTGGTATGTTGTTAGCCTTAACTGGCTAGTACTTAAACTCTATAATTTAACAAGCATACTCCTTCAGGAAATGTATAATCTTAGAGCTTTTATGCTCAAGTGTTAATAGAATAGGTAAAAGAGTAAAAAAAACTTTCTCTTAAATACCCTCCTCTATCTGCATGGACATGAAAGGTTTTTTGCAATTTTAACCCTGGAGTTTTAAAAAAATATCAACACATTAAGTTACACTGGTATTAAAAACTTTTGCATTATCTTTAATAGGACCTAGTTTATGTCCAAATGGTACTGACTACCAAGAATGCTACTGTACCATTAAGAAAAAAAGGGTAAGGCATCAGAATGCCTGCCATTCTCAAATGAAAATTTTAAACTACTATAAACAGCCTAAAGTGGGTCACTCAGATAAATATCATTCCGATAAACACAGGACTGCTCAGAATGGGCTTTTGTTAATGAAGTTGGCTGAATCCCATTCTATTTATTCCAACCAAAATACCTCAGATGGTTTAACGCAGAGGTTGGCAAACTTTTTCCGAAAAGGGACTGATAAATATTTTTGATTTTGTGGCCCACATATGGTTTGTCACATATGTCTATATTTCAATAACCATTTAAAAATATAAAAGCCATTCTTATCTTGCTGGCCATCTAGCCTGCAGGCAGCTGTGAAAATACACTGGAAATGGGTATGTCCTCTTTTAGGCACAAGCTCTAAACTCTGGTCTCTAAAAGGCTGTGCACATTTATGAAGCTAATGGTGTTGTTTTCCTGTGACCTGACAGATGTAGTTATGATGTCATCAAATAAGCATTTATTCCAGGGTAGACACAATGCACGTAGCGGACCTGGTTATTTCTCCTAAGAAGTAACACATGCCTCTACTTTTTTTAAGAGTCAAAAAGCAAATTCTTTGTTTTTTTTAATGAACCTGCATTAGTAAGTAGATTCTAGGAGAGTTCATAATATTCCTGAAATTTTCAGCATGCAAAATTTTATATATCCCTATGTGAACTGTTCTGAGGAAGAGTCTTTTGGTTTCCTTAGACTCTCAAAGGGGTTGGCCTGTGACCTAAAAAAGGATGACGAGCTGCTCTAGTTCATTTCCAAAGCAAATATATCAAGTGTGAGAACCTTTTAATATTCAGGATCACCGCCTCAAACAAATAAACCCTCATTTGAAGGACACCTAAACGAAACCTAGGTATATTTAAGATCACTTTGGGTGAGTGTGGGTGAATACACACATAAGAAAACATGTTCTATTTGTCAATATTCTTAAGAAAAAAGGGAAATTATATTAAATTGTTTTAAAATGTTTTTAGATATTACTAAAGATTTAAAAACAGTAGTGAATTTTTGCCAACTACAGGTATAAACAGTGACCTCTCTATCACTTGCTTTCAATATAGATGGAAAAGAGGAGGAGAGTTTGTTGTTCCCAACCTCTGGTATACAGTCACCTACCAAAACAATGTTTAAAATGCCACAGTGAATAAGCTTTAAAAAAAAACAAAAGTTCATCTGGAATCCTTGCTTACAATAGTGCATTACCTCATTTGTCATTACCTCCAAAATTTAGGAGAAGCAAATAGTACTCGTTCATACATTCTATAAAAGATATGATTTTAACCATCTTATTCTAACCAAATAAGATTATGTGTTGAATTTTTGTTATTTACTGATGACAAAAAAGGAACATTCTCTCTACGGAAAACTGCTAGCAGAGCTATTCCACCACCTATATAGAGCCAGGACACACTCAGTAACACCAAGTCTAAAGGCCCTTCATTATTTAAGAGTAATTCTGTGAAGAGCCATGTATAGACCCAAATATGGGTCAAACATGCACATTATTAATAGGTGAGACATGAAGACTAAGAACACTCTCATGCACCCCTATTTTTGGCCCAAATGTTAGCATAGTTATAAGATTAAAATTAAAAGTAAGCGTAGTCTCTTAAAATTAGAAAAGCAACTAACAGAAGACTGACTAATGTTATTTGTTTTTGCGGCCTATTTTCAAATGAGATAGTTTCTCATTCTACATAGCAAAATCTTTTGGGTATTTCTGAAGTATCACCCAAAACAAACACTATAATGTCTCCTAATCATAGCACTATCCACAATGGCAAAATACTTTTGGAAATTCCTATGTGGTACAACTTTCCAAACAAATCTCTTGAATATAGTTCAGAAAGTTACACCAATGATGCTCATTAAGGAGAAAATGTTCACTAAATTAACCTGCATTTTCTTGGGGGCATCCCACTTTGGTTCAGGTCCTGATCAGGTCTGTGAATTTGAGCCCTGTGTCGGTCCCTGCTGTTAGCGGCAGAGCCTGCTTAAGATCCTCTGTCCCCAACCCCTCTCAAAAACAACCTGCATTTCCTTAAAAAACAAAAAAAAACAAGGCTTCAGAAGAGCCAAAAACAAAAACTACCAAAACAAACAAACAAAACATTCTCAGATGCTCAGAAATGATCAACTGGTATACCATCAAATCAACTTTCCAGGTAAAAAGATGCCTGCTGAGAGCTACAGGACCCAACTATGACCCAGCTGTCATTGAAACAGCAAATAATACTCTGACATTAAGACCATTACTTATTACAATCTTCTAAAAGGCAAGGTTGGTTTGCTTTTGTTTTTGATTAAGCAAATATCTGAGACTGAAAACAAAGAATGAAGGATATTCTCAGAAATCATCAATTTTATAGAAATTAGCCTACGGGTATCATTTGCAGTTTATTATCCACTCAAAGGCTTGGCTTGGGGCACAATGAATAGGTCACAGATCATTTTTAAAAATTAAAAGCATCAGGGATGAGAAGCCTCCCATGTAATGTGCCTCTAGGAACAAGATGCAATTCAATCTGGGTCCTGTAGCATTTGGTACTTTATGCAAAAATGACTTTGCTTTGTAGAATGAGGTAAAAAACATTATTCAGTGGAGAAATGTATGAAAGCAAGCAATTAACTAAGTTTTAGTGGTAGCAATTCTGTGGCTAGCTTTCAGAAGATGTAGTTCAAAACAGCTTTACTGGGTTGCCAAGCCAAAAGAGAAAAAAAGAATGAGCTGGCTTATAAAGAAATGTTGTTACTTTAGCCCCTTGAGAGCTGGCACCTTACCCAAGCCTTTCCTTGCTTTCTTCTGGTGTCAGCTGATCAAAGGTCTTTGCCTCTTCAGCACCCAAGAAGGCATCATGGTCATAATCAAAACTCTGAGCATCATTGTGAACTTTGTCGCTGAGTTGAGGCTCATGGTGTACACGGTCTTTCTTTTCTGTGGGCTTGCTCAAAGCAAAGGCTGTGCACAAGGACAGGCACATAAGAAACTGTCGCAGGTCCATGATAATCAGATCCTAAAGAAAAACAAAGGTTAATTAATTCCAGAAGCAGTGTGCTTTGTAATTAAACAAGAAATTAAAAGCTCACATCCAGTTATTAATTTGCTATCACCTGAAATATTATTACTTAATCCACAAAATAAGAATGGTAGAATATCAGACTTTCCAATTTTATGGTAAGAAATTTTCACCAGTTTCCTTCATTTGACTGGAAGCTGACAAGGAATCAGTTAAAATACCCACCTTGTAAGTAGGCCCCCTTTAAAAAACACCAAAGTAGAATATTAATCTCTTTAAAAAGTGAAAGGACCAACATTTAAATTCAAATTTACTTACTGACTCCCAACAACTTTACTTTTCGTGCTACATCAGAAGTCTGGTCTTTAAACCTGGCTGGTTATTAGGATTACCTAAGAAGCTTTAAAACAAACTCCCCCAATTGAATTAGAATCTTTAAAGTTGAATAAATGCATCTGCAGTTTTCAATGCTTCTCAGGTGAGTCTGATAATCATTAGATTAGGAACCATGAACTATTTGAGCAGCGTCCTTCTCCTATATATAGCACCAAGTTGTCTCCCATTATCCATGCTCAATCTCAAATCATCTTCAAAGATCAAAGCATTCAGACGGTACAGTGATGGATAACAACTGCTTTAGCATTCCTTACACTGTGTTTCCAAACTTGCCCAGGCATAAAGACCGCCTGGAGTGCTGTTCAAGTACAGGTTTCCAGGTCCTACTCCATAC